TTGGTGAGTGAGTGATCAGCTGGGTTGGTGAGTGAGCGATCAGCTGAGTTGGTGATTCAGTGAGTGAGTGATCAGCTGAGTTGGTAAGTCAGTGAGTGAGTGAGTGATGAGCTGAGTTGGTGAGTGAGTGATCAGCTGAGTTGGTGAATGAGTGATCAGCTGGGTTGGTGAGTGATTGATCAGCTGGGTTGGTGAGTGAGTGATCAGCTGAGTTGGTGAGTGAGTGATCAGTTGAGTTGGTGAGTGAGTGATCAGCTGGTTGCTGAGTGATTGATCAGCTGGGTTGGTGAGTGAGTGATCAGCTGGTTTGGTGAGTGAGTGATCAGCTGGTTGGTGAGTGAGTGATCAGCTGGTTTGGTGAGTGATTTATCAGCTGGTTGGTGAATGAGTGATTAGCTGGGATGGTGAGTTATTGATCAGCTGGGTTGGTGAGTGAGTAATCAGCTGGGTTAGTGAGTGAGTGATCAGCTGGTTTGGTGAGTGAGTGATCAGCTGGGTTGGTGAGTGAGTGATCAGCTGGGTTGGTGAGTGATTGATCAGCTGGTTTGTGAGTGAGTGATCAGCTGGCTTGGTGAGTGAGTGATCAGCTGGTTGGTGAGTGATTGATCAGCTGGTTTGGTGAGTGAGTGATCAGCTGGGTTGGTGAGTGAGTGATCAGCTGGGTTAGTGAGTGAGTGATCAGCTGGTTTGGTGAGTGAGTGATCAGCTGGTTTGGTGAGTGATTGATCAGCTGGGTTGGTGAGTGAGTGATCAGCTGGTTTGGTGAGTGAGTGATCAGCTGGGTTGGTGAGTGAGTGATCAGCTGGTTTGGTGAGTGAGTGATCAGCTGGGTTGGTGAGTGAGTGATCAGCTGGTTTGGTGAGTGAGTGATCAGCTGGGTTGGTGAGTGAGTGATCAGCTGGTTGGTGAGTGAGTGATCAGCTGGTTGGTGAGTGATTGATCAGCTGGTTTGGTGAGTGAGTGATCAGCTGAGTTGGTGAGTGAGTGATCAGCTGGTTGCTGAGTGAGTGATCAGCTGGTCGCTGAGTGAGTGATCAGCTGGGTTGGTGAGTGAGTGATCAGCTGGTTTAGTGAGTGAGTGATCAGCTGGTTGGTGAGTGATTGATCAGCTGGTTTGTGAGTGAGTGATCAGCTGGCTTGGTGAGTGAGTGATCAGCTGGTTGGTGAGTGATTGATCAGCTGGTTTGGTGAGTGAGTGATCAGCTGGGTTGGTGAGTGAGTGATCAGCTGGGTTAGTGAGTGAGTGATCAGCTGGTTTGGTGAGTGAGTGATCAGCTGGTTTGGTGAGTGATTGATCAGCTGGGTTGGTGAGTGAGTGATCAGCTGGTTTGGTGAGTGAGTGATCAGCTGGGTTGGTGAGTGAGTGATCAGCTGGTTTGGTGAGTGATTGATCAGCTGGGTTGGTGAGTGAGTGATCAGCTGGTTTGGTGAGTGAGTGATCAGCTGGGTTGGTGAGTGAGTGATCAGCTGGTTTGGTGAGTGAGTGATCAGCTGGGTTGGTGAGTGAGTGATCAGCTGGTTGGTGAGTGAGTGATCAGCTGGTTGGTGAGTGATTGATCAGCTGGTTTGGTGAGTGAGTGATCAGCTGAGTTGGTGAGTGAGTGATCAGCTGGTTGCTGAGTGAGTGATCAGCTGGTCGCTGAGTGAGTGATCAGCTGGGTTGGTGAGTGAGTGATCAGCTGGTTTAGTGAGTGAGTGATCAGCTGGTTGGTGAGTGAGTGATCAGCTGGGTTCGTGAGTCAGTGAGTGATTGATCAGCTGGGTTGGTGAGTGATTGATCAGCTGGCTTGGTGAGTGAGTGATCAGCTGGCTTGTGAGTGAGTGATCAGCTGGTTGGTGAGTGAGTGATCAGCTGGTTGGTGAGTGAGTGATCAGCTGGGTTGGTGATTGAGTGATCAGCTGGTTTGGTGAGTGATCAGCTGAGTTGGTGAGTGAGTGATCAGCTGGGTTGACGAGTGAGTGATCAGCTGGGTTGGTGAGTGAGTGATCAGCTGGGTTGGTGAGTCAGTGAGTGAGTGATCAGCTGAGTTGTTGAGTGAGTGATCATCTGGGTTGGTGAGTGAGTGATCAGCTGGTTTGGTGAGTCAGTGAATGAGTGATCAGCTGTTTTGGTGAGTGAGTGATCAGCTGAGTTGGTGAGTCAGTGAGTGAGTGAGTGATCAGCTGTTTTGGTGAGTGAGTGATCAGCTGAGTTGGTGAGTCAGTGAGTGAGTGATCAGCTGAGTTGGTGAGTGAGTGATCAGCTGGGTTGGTGAGTCAGTGAGTGAGTGATCAGCTGAGTTGGTGAGTGAGTGATCATCTGGGTTGGTGAGTGAGTGATCAGCTGGTTTGGTGAGTCAGTGAGTGAGTGATCAGCTGTTTTGGTGAGTGAGTGATCAGCTGAGTTGGTGAGTCAGTGAGTGAGTGAGTGATCAGCTGTTTTGGTGAGTGAGTGATCTGCTGAGTTGGTGAGTCAGTGAGTGAGTGATCAGCTGAGTTGGTGAGTGAGTGATCATCTGGGTTGGTGAGTGAGTGATCAGCTGGTTTGGTGAGTCAGTGAGTGAGTGATCAGCTGTTTTGGTGAGTGAGTGATCAGCTGAGTTGGTGAGTCAGTGAGTGAGTGAGTGATCAGCTGAGTTGGTAAGTCAGTGAGTGAGTGATCAGCTGAGTTGGTAAGTCAGTGAGTGAGTGATCAGCTGAGTTGGTGAGTGAGTGATCAGCTGGGTTGGTGAGTCAGTGAGTGAGTGATCAGCTGAGTTGGTGAGTGAGTGATCAGCTGGGTTGGTGAGTCAGTGAGTGAGTGATCAGCTAAGTTGGTGAGTGAGTGATCAGCTGGGTTGGTGATTGAGTGAGTGATCCGCTGGTTTGGTGAGTGAGTGATCAGCTGAGTTGGTGAGTGAGTGATCAGCTGGGTTGGTGAGTGAGTGATCAGCTGAGTTGGTGAGTGAGTGATCAGCTGAGTTGGTGAGTCAGTGAGTGAGTGATCAGCTGGTTTGGTGAGTGAGTGATCAGCTGAGTTGGTGAGTGAGTGATCAGCTGGTTTGGTGAGTGAGTGATCAGCTGAGTTGGTGATTGATCAGCTGGTTTGGTGAGTGAGTGATCAGCTGGGTTGGTGAGTGAGTGATCAGCTGGTTGGTGAGTGAGTGATCAGCTGGTTGGTGAGTGAGTGATCAGCTGAGTTGGTGAGTGAGTGATCAACTGGATTGGCGACACCCAGCAGACGCCTTCGCTGCTGAGATAATGGCAGCGCCTCTATAACCATATTAATATATGAAGCAGAGGTGCGCTCACACACTCCACTGGTTCGTGTTCCTCTTTCATTCATGGATCGCAGCTCGGTGGCTATTGAAGTCAACAATTCCAGCAGCAGCAGCAACAACAGCAGCAGCCTGTCGCCAGCGGAGCTATTGGAGAGTCTGATCGGCACGACGTCTCGATATGACTACCGAGTACGGCCCAACTTCGGCGGTGAGTCCGTTCGGAATCTCCATCGTCACAATCACCGCTCGCATCATCACCGCTATCACCAACATCACCACTAAACACCCTCACCACCGCCTCAATCGCCACCATCGCCGCTGTCACCACAACCACCACCACTGTCATCACCATCTCAACCACCACTATCACCACCACCACATCAACCACCACCACCACATCAACCACCACCATCACCGTTATCACTTCAAACATCACCATCGAAACGATCACGGTGACGTCAAAACGGCCAGGCTACGTGCACGTTGAGGCCACGTGAAGGCAGGAGGTTACGGGACAGACCCAGCTGCCATGGGTCGACTGAGTGGTCGATGAACCAACTGTACCCCCTACTGTGCCAACTTGCTGTGTTTTAGTTGCCCGGCGCTCCGCTCATTGTTATGAGCGTCGCTCCTCTGCCCTCCAGATCCTCTTGTACCACATAACTCCATATCTTCAATATCCAGCCGAACAAAAGCTGTTTCGGCATATGGTGGCTGGGCATGCGGGCTACATGACCCAGCCAACGCAGCCTTGCCCGCCGGAGGAGCTCACCGATGGGACCTTGATGGTGATAGGTGTGGCACTACAAGTTACTTTTTTGATGGAGTTAAAGAGTGATTTGTGATCGCGGGCTACTGAGGCAAACTCCATCTCCTCAGCAACTCGCGACCACCACCCATCCTTGCAGCGCCTCACGGCTCTCCGAACCTCCGAGCGAAGGCTGCGGTAAGCCTCCTCATTCTCTGACGTGGGATTCTGTAGCCGATGACAGTGGGCCTGTCGCTTTTTCTCAACCATCCTGAACACCTCCTCTGTCAGCCAGGGTCTCTGGGGAGGTCTGGACCGTGTACCCAAAGCAGCCATTGAAGCTGCATGAGCCACAGTCCTAAACCTCGCCCATTTCCCCTCGGCATCAGAGGAGTAGGGGACGATGCTAACCCCAGCTGCAAGCGATGATGTAATTCTCGCTTGCAACTTTCATCAGCTAGCTGACACCAGGCCACTGTGGGTTTAAATGGGGTCCTAGATGTACACCCACCACCGGAGTGGAAGAATGGCAGATGCATCTTACAGAAGACGAGTCAATAGTCAGTGGGCAGATCAGCCCCAAGGTAGGTCCTGCTGTTAAAGACATGGGCCCACATCTGGTGTTTCGTCACTATATAGTCCAGCAGATGTTATTGCTTGGACCCGGCACGCATCCATGATGTTTTGTGGATGCACTGATGCTGGAACAGCGTGTTGGTAATTACAAGCCCATGGGCTGCACAAAAGTCTAGCAGCCTCCTACCGTTGTTAGTGAGCTGATCTCGTCGTTATAGTTGTGGTTATAGTAGTAGTGGTTGTAGAAGTGGTAGTTGTGGTTGTAGTAGAAGTGGTTATAGTAGTCATAGTTGTGGTAGTAGTGGTTGTAGTAGTGCTAGTTGTGGTTGTAGTAGTGGTTGTAGTTTTGGTAGTCGTTGTTGTAGTAGTGATTGTAGTTGTGGTTGTAGTAGTTGTGGTTGTAGTAACAATGCGTGCCGTGCTGTGTCTGCATACAGGGGCTCCGACAGTGATTAACTGCAGCATCTTCATCGAAAACTTCGGATCCATATCAGAAACAACCATGGTGAGGGTTGGGCGGTGAGGGTGAGTGATGAGGGTGAGTGGTGAGGGTGAGTGGTGAGGGTAAGCGGTGAAGGTTGAACGGTGAGGGTGAGTGGTGCGGGTTGAGTGGCTTCTACATCTACAGAACGTGAAGAACCAGTGGCATCTACGTCTACAGAACATGAATAACCAGTGGCATCTACATCTGCAGAACGTGAAGAATCAGTGGCATCTACATCTACAGAACATGAAGAACCAGCGGCATCTACATCTATGGAACATTAAGAACCAGTGGCATCTACATCTACAGAACATGAAGAACCAGCAGCATCTACATCTACGGAACATTAAGAACCAGTGGCATCTACATCTGCAGAACATGAAGAACCAGCAGCATCTACATCTGCAGAACATGAAGAACCAGTGGCATCTACATCTGCAGAACGTGAAGAATCAGTGGCATCTACATCTACAAAACATGAAGAACCAGTGGCATCTACATCTACGGAACATTAAGAACCAGTGGCATCTACATCTACAGAACGTGAAGAACCAGTGGCATCTACATCTACAGAACATGAAGAACCAGCGGCATCTACATCTACGGAACATTAAGAACCAGTGGCATCTACATCTACAGAACATGAAGAACCAGTGGCATCTACATCCACAGAACATGAATAACCAGTGGCATCTACATCTGCAGAACGTGAAGAATCAGTGGCATCTACATCTACAGAACATGAAGAACCAGCGGCATCTACATCTGCAGAACGTGAAGAACCAGTGGCATCTACATCTACAGAACATGAAGAACCAGTGGCATCTACATCTACGGAACATTAAGAAACAGTGGCATCTACATGAAGAACCAGTGGCATCTACATCTACAGAACATGAAGAACCAGCGGCATCTACATCTACGGAACATTAAGAACCAGTGGCATCTACATCTACAGAACATGAAGAACCAGTGGCATCTACATCTACAGAACATGAATAACCAGTGGCATCTACATCTGCAGAACGTGAAGAATCAGTGGCATCTACATCTACAGAACATGAATAACCAGTGGCATCTACATCTACAGAACATGAAGGAGCAGTGGCATCTACATCTACAGAACATTAAGAACCAGTGGCATCTACATCTGCATGAAATTCTTCAACTTGTAAAGCCATCCCCCGTGTTTAATGTACACGCCGTACAACACGTTTGGAATCGACAGGAGTAAAGTTGGACTTACGAACACATCGACCTACGAACAGACCTCTGGAACCTAACTCATTTATAAGTAGAGGAGTCCCTGTATTGTAGTGTAGCAGTATATGATGTAGTGTAGTAGTATATAATAGTGTAGTATATAATGTAGTGTAGTTGTATATTGTAGTGGAGTATATAATGTAGTGTAGTAGTATATAGCAGTGTAGTATATAATGTTGTGTAGTCGTATATAATGCAGCATAGTAGTGTATAATGTATATGAATAATGTACATGCCATACAACACGTTTGGAATCGACAAGAAAAAATTGACTTACGAACAGACCTCTGGAATTCTTGATTTGAAGTTTTCGTGACTGCAGGAATCCATACTCTTTGGTTTTATTCGGTAAAGTCACGTAGGTAAAACATACAAATTTAAACAACTCAATTAAGTTGAAAAATGAAAACAACGTAATTCAGTTGTTTCCATCTTCATTTTATTAGATATTTTTTACCCATGTAGTGTTGTAAAGACTAGTAAACTTCTTAGGAGGCACACTCTGTTTATTGTACTTATTTCCTTATACAGTCCATAACACACACAGAGGGGTATACGGTCCTCTCACCCGATACCCGAGGGAGGTACAGCCTCCTAGCTTGCTAACCTCCTAGCTTGGCGGGACTTGCACGTCTACCGCTAACCTCCTTAATACCTAAGGAGGTACAGCCTCCGGACTTGGCGGGACTCACACGTCTACCGCTATCCTAGTCCTCCGGCTAGGACCTAGGGGAGGCTGTCTGACCCACCGCTGGCCCGGTGGGTCCTGACCACTGGGTATGCCGAGCCTTAGCCCTCAGAAGGGCTGGAAGGCCGGGTCCAGGGTCCTAGCTAAGCTCCAGCCCAGTCTTCCATCATTCGTGTAGGGAGAGAACTCCCCCTAGCTCTGTTGGGTCACCCGTCTTATAATCGTTCGTGGCCAGGCAGAACCAATCACACATTCCCACGTGGAACAGTCTGATTGGTTCCTACCGACCCGTGGCCACGATCCACTTCACCTCGTCTGACCCCGACCGTTGTGTACCCAGAGGTAACGCTGCACTGCCCTGGTGGCAATGCAGGTTACCCAACAGCACGTAGTTAACGCCTCTGCATCTACGTGACTTTACCGAATGAAACCAAAGAGTATAGACCTCTGGAACCTACCACCCTCTCCTCTCCTCTCCCCTCCCCCCGCCAGGACTACAAAGTGTCCATCTTCATGCGGCAGATGTGGAACGACCCTCGGCTGAGCTACGCGGGCTCCAGGCAGAGCCTTGCGCTCGACAGCTCAGTCATCGGCTCCATCTGGAAGCCCGACCTCTTCTTCTCCAACGAGATGAGCGGCAGCTTCCACTCCATCACCACGGACAACCGTCGCATCACCGTCTACGGCAACGGGGATATCGTCTACTCGCTCCGGTGGTGGCCCACGCGAGACGGCCACGACGATCCCCCTCCACTCCCCATGTGGCCTCTCAATAGACTGTCGGGGGCAAGTGCTGTTCGTAGTAGCGAGCAGCAGGTCCTCCATGTAGCCTCTCAATAGACTGTCGGGGGCAAGTGCTGTTCGTAGTAGCGAGCAGCAGGTCCTCCATGTAGCCTCTCAATAGACTGTCGGGGGCAAGTGCTGTTCGTAGTAGCGAGCAGCAGGTCCTCCATGTAGCCTCTCAATAGACTGTCGGGGGCAAGTGCTGTTCGTAGTAGCGAGCAGCAGGTCCTCCATGTAGCCTCTCAATAGACTGTCGGGGGCAAGTGCTGTTCGTAGTAGCGAGCAGCAGGTCCTCCATGTAGCCTCTCAATAGACTGTCGGGGGCAAGTGCTGTTCGTAGTAGCGAGCAGCAGGTCCTCCATGTAGCCTCTCAATAGACTGTTGGGGGCAAGTGCTGTTCGTAGTAGCGAGCAGCAGCAGCAGCGCCTATGAAGGAGACAAAGATACAGGTCCTCCATGTAACCTGTTAACAAACTGTCGGGGGCAAGTGTCGTGAGTAGCAGCAGCGTCTATGAAGGTAGACAGACGAAGATTCTAGATGTGAAGCTTTCGTGACTGCAAGGATTCATACGCTTTGTTTTTTTTTCGGTAAAGTCACGTAGGTAAAATGAAATGAATGAAAACAACTAAATTAAATCACGACGCTTCGGAGGCAACACAAGCTTCCGTCTTCAGGTGGAAACAGTCACAGCAAGCTTGTGTTAACCTCCGAAACGTCGTGATTTAATTGAGTTGTTTTCATTTCTTTATTTCACATACGTGACTTTACCGAAAAAAAAATAAAGAGTACAGACGAAGATCCCCCGTGTAGCCTTTAGCAGGCTGTAGGGGCAAGTGCTGTTAGTAGCGAGTAGCAGCAGCAGCGTCTATGAAGGTAGACACAGACAAAGGTCCCCCGTGTAGCCTCTGACAAGCTGTAGGGGCAAGTGCTGCTAGTAGCGAGTAGCAGTAGCGTCTATGAAGGTAGACACAAAGGTCCCCCGTGTAGCCTCTAGCAGGCTGTAGGGGCAAGTGCTGTTAGTCGCGAGTAGCAGCAGCAGCGTCTATGAAGGTAGACACAGACAAAGGTCCCCCGTGTAGCCTCTAGCAGGCTGTAGGGGCAAGTGCTGCTAGTAGCGAGTAGCAGCAGCAGCGTCTATGAAGGTAGACACAAAGGTCCCCCGTGTAGCCTCTGACAAGCTGTAGGGGCAAGTGCTGCTAGTAGCGAGTAGCAGCAGCACCTATGAAGGTAGACACAGAGAAAGGTCCCCCGGGTAGCCTCTAGCAGGCTGTAGGGGCAAGTGCTGCTAGTAGCGAGTAGCAGCAGCAACGTCTATGAAGATAGACACAGACAAAGGTCCCCCGTGTAGCCTCTGACAGGCTGTAGGGGCAAGTGCTGTTAGTAGCGAGTAGCAGCAGCAGCGTCTATGAAGGTAGACACAGACAAAGGTCCCCCGTGTAGCCTCTGACAGGCTCTAGGGGCAAGTGCTGCTAGTAGGGAGTAGCAGCAGCAGCGTCTATGAAGGTAGACACAGACAAAGGTCCCCCGTGTAGCCTCTAGCAGGTTGTAGGGGCAAGTGCTGTTAGCAGCAGCAGCAGTAGCGTCTATGAAGGTAGACACAGACAAAGGTCCCCCGTGTAGCCTCTGACAGGCTGTAGGGGCAAGTGCTGTTAGTAGCGAGTAGCAGCAGCAGCGTCTATGAAGGTAGACACAGACAAAGGTCCCCCGTGTAGCCTCTGACAGGCTGTAGGGGCAAGTGCTGCTAGTAGGGAGTAGCAGCAGCAGCGTCTATGAAGGTAGACACAGACAAAGGTCCCCCGTGTAGCCTCTAGCAGGTTGTAGGGGCAAGTGCTGTTAGCAGCAGCAGTAGCGTCTATGAAGGTAGACACAGACAAAGGTCCCCCGTGTAGCCTCTGACAGGCTGTAGGGGCAAGTGCTGTTAGTAGCGAGTAGCAGCAGCAGCGTCTATGAAGGTAGACACAGACAAAGGTCCCCCGTGTAGCCTCTGACAGGCTCTAGGGGCAAGTGCTGCTAGTAGGGAGTAGCAGCAGCAGCGTCTATGAAGGTAGACACAGACAAAGGTCCCCCGTGTAGCCTCTAGCAGGTTGTAGGGGCAAGTGCTGTTAGCAGCAGCAGCAGTAGCGTCTATGAAGGTAGACACAGACAAAGGTCCCCCGTGTAGCCTCTGACAGGCTGTAGGGGCAAGTGCTGTTAGTAGCGAGTAGCAGCAGCAGCGTCTATGAAGGTAGACACAGACAAAGGTCCCCCGTGTAGCCTCTGACAGGCTGTAGGGGCAAGTGCTGCTAGTAGGGAGTAGCAGCAGCAGCGTCTATGAAGGTAGACACAGACAAAGGTCCCCCGTGTAGCCTCTAGCAGGCTGTAGGGGCAAGTGCTGTTAGCAGCAGCAGCGTCTATGAAGGCTACCGGCACCGTGGCACACACAGAGGGGGTGGGTGCCCAGCACCACGCCCGGCCGCCTTCGGCTTCCCAATGGGCGATGTTCACTACAACGCTACACAGCTGCGCCAGCTACTCATTGGAGGCTCAGTCGACCTCGGGGAGGCCCAGTACCAGTTCGGATAATCGCCTAAATCGGTGTTGGTGGTGGCCGTGAGCGAGAATTGAACTCGCGTATTCGTAGGGCTGATCTCGTGACAGCGCGGTCCCTTCGCCTGACGAAGGCCGCTCGCGTTGTGGCCCGAAACGTCGTGATTTTTGTTGCTTTATTTTTTTTATTTTTTTTACCTACGCGACTTCACCGAATAGAACCAAAGAGTGTGATGGATCGAAAACTTCAAATCGAGAAGCAGCGTAGCGCTAACCACTACGCTCACACGTGGCACCCACGCACACGCAGAGAGGACAAAAATCCCCCGTACACACTTTGGTCCTCTCGGTAATAAAACAAAAAAAATAACGCATCACGACGTTTCGATCGCAACACAAGCGGTCGTCCTCAGGCGGAAAAGAAAATAATCCAGCAGGAGAAACTGCTGCAACAGGAAGGACGCAGCGAGAGAGAGAAAGAGAGAGAGAGAGAGCTAAATTTCGATTTAAAGCTTTCGTGACTGCAAGGATTCATCTTCTTTGGTTCTTTCGGTAAAGTCACCACCACGTAGAATGAGAATACAATAATAAATTGATAAAATAAAATAACGCAATAATATTCTCACTAGAGATAATAAAATAAAATAACACAATAATATTCTCACTAGAGAATATTATTGTGTTATTTTATTGTATTATTTTATTCTATTATGTATTATTATTCTATTATTTATTATTTTATTCATGAGAATAAAATAATAAATTGATAAAATAACACAATAACACAATAATATACACAATAATATTCTCACTAATATTCTCACTAGAGAATACACAATAATATTCTCTAGTGAGAATATTATTGTTATTTTATTTTATCAATTTATTATTTTATTCTCATTCTACGTGACTTTACCGAAAGAACCATAGAAGAAGAGAGAGAGAGCTGTTGCGACAAGAGAGTAACAAGAGGCGATAGATGTGGTGAAGGGCAAGGGAAGCCGGGGTCTCGGCTTGAGGCCATCACGTGAAGTGTCGAACGCCCGCCGGCAGGAGGTCACGGGGCAGACCCAGCAGGTGCCACGGGTCGACTGACCGAGATGAGTGGCCGATGCACCACCACCTGCTGTGCCCCCTACTGAGTTGGGGTGGCTGCCTCGGCCTCTTCCCCCGCCTCTTGGCCACCGCAGCTCCGGTTGGGGAACGCTGTGGCAGCGTGGGGCAGCTTTGTCGCAAGTTGAATTTGGTGCAATGTTATCTCTGTTATTGTCGGCTGTCCTCTGACCCACGTGTGCTGCTGCTCGTGATGCTGCTGCTGCTGCTGCTGCAGGCTGTCCCTGACTCTCTCCTGCCCCATGGACCTCCACAACTTCCCCATGGACAGCCAGATCTGCCGCATCTACCTGGAAAGCTGTGAGTGATGCCGCGATGGGGCCATCGATGTGAGTGCACAGGAACGTGTTGTCAAGAAGGCCACAGTAGTAGGCACTATGCCTAGGGCCTACTCACCCACCCACTCTCCCAGACAACCACCCACTCACTCATTCACCCACTCACCCACTCACCCACCCACCCACTCTCCCAGCCACCCACCCACTCTCTCATTCACCCACCCACTCTCCCAGCCACCCACCCACTCACTCATTCACTCACTCACTCATTCACCCACCCACCCACTCTCCCAGCCACCCACCCACTCACTCTCCCAGCCACCCACCCACCCACTCTCCCACCCACTCACTCATTCACCCACTCACCCACCCACCCACCCACTCTCCCAGCCACCCACCCACTCACTCATTCACCCACTCACTCATTCACCCACCCACTCTCCCAGCCACCCACCCACTCACTCTCCCAGCCACCCACCCACCCACTCTCCCACTCACTCACTCATTCACCCACTCACCCACCCACCCACCCACTCACCCAGCCACCCACCCACCCACTCTCCCACCCACTCACTCATTCACCCTCTCACTCATTCACTCACTCTCCCAGCCACCCACCCACTCACTCATTCACCCACTCACTCATTCACCCACTCACTCATTCACCCACTCACTCATTCACCCACTCTCCCAGCCACCCACCCACTCACTAATTCACCCACTCACCCACCCACCCACCAGGGCCGTGATATCAAATCGGCCACAGTAAGCACTGTGCCTAGAGCCTACGAAAATTCAAGGGCCCACAAAACACCTGTGGCCAAGATATATTCTTGAATCAATACACTAAGATGGCTTGCTCGTTGCAATGTCTCTGCAGTGGTGGGAACGTCGTTGGCTCATTGTAAGCGAGGCGTGTTACGGCCTAAAATAAGAATTCGAAAGCATCTCTGAGTTTAAACGAAAGTGAAATTCAACGTCTCGTCGCGACATTGAATTTGCTATAGATGGAAATGAAAGGCATCCCTTGAGATGATCACGGTAAGCAAACTAATAGTTGAAGACTTTTTCGATCGTAACATTTTTATTGGGGTTTTACATTTTTTCCCCTTTCAATGACTCCAAATTAAATGCCGCTTATCTGCGGCACGCAGACGCACGCTCCCATCGGATTGGGGGCGCAGGCTAAATCGTGAGAACCTGTCAGCAGTAAGGACATCTGTCCAGCGGCTGGATGAAGTAGCGACGCGTGAAGCGAGTGGAGTGACAGCGGTGGTCGTGACATGGGACAGCAGCAGCATCATCTGTAGAGAGTTATCACTCAAAGTGCCTACGTGACATGGGACAACAGCAGCATCTGTAGAGAGTTATCACTCAAAGTGCCTACGTGACATGGGACAGCAGCAGCAGCATCTGTAGAGAGTTATCACTCAAAGTGCCTACGTGACATGGAACAGCAGTAGCAGCAGCATCTGTAGAGAGTCATCACTCAAAGTGCCTACGTGACATGGGACAGCAGTAGCATCTGTAGAGAGTTATCACTCAAAGTGCCTACGTGACATGGGACAGCAGCATCATCTGTAGAGAGTTATCACTCAAAGTGCCTACGTGACATGGGACAGCAGTAGCAGCATCTGTAGAGAGTTATCACTCAAAGTGCCTACGTGACATGGGGTAGCAGCATCATCTGTAGAGAGTTATCACTCAAAGTGCCTACGTGACATGGGACAGCAGTAGCAGCGGCATCTGTAGAGAGTTATCACTCAAAGTGCCTACGTGACATGGAACAGCAGCAGCATCTGTAGAGAGTTATCACTCAAAGTGCCTACGTGACATGGGACAGCAGTAGCAGCGGCATCTGTAGAGAGTTATCACTCAAAGTGCCTACGTGACATGGGACAGCAGCAGCATCAGCAGGAGCATCTGTGGAGAGTTATCACTCAAAGTGCCTACGTGACATGGGACAGCAGCAGCATCTGTAGAGAGTTATCACTCAAAGTGCCTACGTGACATGGGACAGCAGTAGCAGCAGCATCTGTAGAGAGTTATCACTCAAAGTGCCTACGTGACATGGGACAGCAGTAGCATCTGTAGAGAGTTATCACTCAAAGTGCCTACGTGACATGGGGTAGCAGTAACAGCAGCATCTGTAAAGAGTTATCACTCAAAGTGCCTACGTGACATGGGACAGCATCAGCATCTGTAGAGAGTTATCACTCAAAGTGCCTACGTGACATGGGACAGCAGCAGCATCTGTAGAGAGTTATCACTCAAAGTGCCTACGTGACATGGGACAGCAACAGCAGCAGCATCTGTAGAGAGTTACCACTCAAAGTGCCTACGTGACATGGAACAGCAGCAGCATCTGTAGAGAGTTATCACTCAAAGTGCCTACGTGACATGGGACAGCAGTAGCAGCATCTGTAGAGAGTTATCACTCAAAGTGCCTACGTGATATGGGACAGCAGCAGCATCTGTAGAGAGTTATCACTCAAAGTGCCTACGTGACATGGGACAGCAGCATCATCTGTAGAGAGTTATCACTCAAAGTGCCTACGTGACATGGGACAGCAGTAGCATCTGTAGAGAGTTATCACTCAAAGTGCCTACGTGACATGGGACAGCAGTAGCAGCAGCATCTGTAGAGAGTTATCACTCAAAGTGCCTACGTGATATGGGACAGCAGCAGCAGCATCTGTAGAGAGTTATCACTCAAAGTGCCTACGTGATATGGGACAGCAGTAGCAGCAGCATCTGTAGAGAGTTATCACTCAAAGTGCCTACGTGACATGGGGTAGCAGCATCATCTGTAGAGAGTTATCACTCAAAGTGCCTACGTGACATGGAACAGCAGCAGCATCTGTAGAGAGTTATCACTCAAAGTGCCTACGTGACATGGGACAGCAGTAGCAGCATCATCTGTAGAGAGTTATCACTCAAAGTGCCTACGTGACATGGGACAGCAGCAGCATCATCTGTAGAGAGTTATCACTCAAAGTGCCTACGTGACATGGGACAGCATCAGCATCTGTAGAGAGTTATCACTCAAAGTGCCTACGTTACATGGGACAGCAGTAGCAGCAGCAGCATCTGTAGAGAGTTATCACTCAAAGTGCCTACGTGACATGGAACAGCAGCAGCATCTGTAGAGAGTTATCACTCAAAGTGCCTACGTGACATGGGACAGCATCAGCAGCATCTGTAGAGAGTCATCACTCAAAGTGCCTACGTGACATGGGACAGCAGCAGCATCTGTAGAGAGTTATCACTCAAAGTGCCTACGTGACATGGGACAGCAGTAGCAGCAGCATCTGTAGAGAGTTACCACTCAAAATGCCTACGTGACATGGGACAGCAGCATCTGTAGAGAGTTATCACTCAAAGTGCCTACGTGACATGGGACAGCAGCAGCATCTGTAGAGAGTTATCACTCAAAGTGCCTACGTGACATGGGACAGCAGTAGCAGCAGCATCTGTAGAGAGTTACCACTCAAAGTGCCTACGTGACATGGGACAGCAGCATCTGTAGAGAGTTATCACTCAAAGTGCCTACGTGACATGGGGTAGCATCAGCAGCATCTGTAGAGAGTTATCACTCAAAGTGCCTACGTGACATGGGACAGTAGCAGCAGCATCTGTAGAGAGTTATCACTCAAAGTGCCTACGTGACATGGGACAGCAGCAGCAGCATCTGTAGAGAGTTATCACTCAAAGTGCCTACGTGATATGGGGTAGCAGTAGCAGCAGCATCTGTAGAGAGTTATCACTCAAAGTGCCTACGTGACATGGGACAGCAGCAGCAGCATCTGTAGAGAGTTATCACTCAAAGTGCCTACGTGACATGGGACAGCAGTAGCAGCAGCATCTGTAGAGAGTTATCACTCAAAGTGCCTACGTGACATGGGGTAGCAGTAGCAGCATCTGTAGAGAGTTATCACTCAAAGTGCCTACGTGACATGGGACAGCAGCAGCACCTGTAGAGAGTTATCACTCAAAGTGCCTACGTGACATGGGACAGCAGTAGCAGCAGCATCTGTAGAGAGTTATCACTCAAAGTGCTTACGTGACATGGGACAGTAGCAGCATCTGTAGAGAGTTATCACTCAAAGTGCCTACGTGACATGGGACAGCAGTAGCAGCATCTGTAGAGAGTTATCACTCAAAGTGCCTACGTGACATGGGACAGCAGCATCTGTAGAGAGTTATCACTCAAAGTGCCTACGTGACATGGGTCAGCAACAGTAGCAGCATCTGTAGAGAGTTATCACTCAAAGTTCCTACGTGACATGGGACAGCAGCAGCATGATCTGTAGAGAGTTATCACTCAAAGTGCCTACGTGACATGGGACAGCAGTAGCAGCATCATCTGTAGAGAGTTATCACTCAAAGTGCCTAGGTGACATGGGACAGCATCAGCAGCAGCATCTGTAGAGAGTTATCACTCAAAGTGCCTACGTGACATGGAACAGCAGTAGCTGCATCTGTAGAGAGTTATCACTCAAAGTGCCTACGTGACATGGGACAGCATCAGCAGCAGCATCTGTAGAGAGTTATCACTCAAAGTGCCTACGTGACATGGGACAGCAGCATCTGTAGAGAGTTATCACTCAAAGTGCCTACGTGACATGGGACAGCAGCAGCAGCAGCAGCATCTGTAGAGAGTTATCACTCAAAGTGCCTACGTGATATGGGACAGCAGCAGTATCTGTAGAGAGTTATCACTCAAAGTGCCTACATGACATGGGACAGCAGTAGCAGCAGCAGCATCTGTAGAGAGTTATCACTCAAAGTGCCTACGTGACATGGGGTAACAGCAGCATCTGTAGAGAGTTATCACTCAAAGTGCCTACGTGACATGGGGTAGCATCAGCAGCATCTGTAGAGAGTTATCACTCAAAGTGCCTACGTGACATGGGACAGCAGTAGCAGCAGCATCTGTAGAGAGTTATCACTCAAAGTGCCTACGTGACATGGGACAGCAGTAGCATCTGTAGAGAGTTATCACTCAAAGTTCCTACGTGA